CCCTCCCACTAATTGAGCTACTTTTGGACATTTCTTGTTGTCTGATTGAGGGAAAGGCTGTAAATCGAGAGGAGTCGGTGTGTTCTGAAAGATGAGACGTTGAGGATTTTAATGAATACCAATTTGATGTCATACAAGCAAACCACACACGCATGTGCACTTCAATGTGCACTTCAAATTTCCATATTTGAAAACTCATGTAATTTACAGTATCAATGTTTATGATCGCCAAGTTTGATCCAGAGTTACAAGGGTGGCATGCGCCTATGTCGTATTGTGAAGAACATTAGCCGCAGAACACGCACTTGAATGCACTTATGACGAATCAAAATTACAATCTGTTTTTCTGAAGTGCCTTTTGAAACCCCTAACCCTAACACTGTAAGATCCTATTTTATAACTTTTTTTAAAGCTTTCAAATTATGCTCACCTGACCCAGATTGCGATTGATAATGGAATGTTTTTGGATTGCGTAAACAACAACCGTATTTGTGTGATGTTGGGGACGAAGGGCTGTGTTACAAACAAAAAAACTACAAGTGTGCTTGCTTTAGTTCTTCAAATGCATGCTAGGAGGGCTCAAAAAAGCACCATAGTTGAGCTCCCCAGCTAGCATATTTGGTTCCTTGGAAGTTGTGGAAATGTACATTTTTTAGTTTCCCATTGGTTCTGGGATTGAAGCCATAAGTTTCCTGACTGTTAAAACTGAGTTTTTTTAATGTTCTGAGAACACAAGTGAAAATTCACTTGTTCTGGGAAGGTTTATTTTTAGGTTGCAGGGAGGTTCTGAGAACATTTTACTCTGGTTCTCAACTCTGGCGTACTTAATACACAAGTACAGAAACAGACTCAATGCTGAGCATGACCTCAGGGTTGCACTGTCAAAAACGGATTCCCAGAATAGACCTGCTTGTTTAAAACTTCAACCAGCCACACACCTCTCATTAGGATTGTGTGTGTGTGTGTGTGTGTGTGTATGTGTGTGTGTGTGTGTGTGTGTGTGTGTGTGTGTGTGTGTGTGTGTGTGTGTGTGTGTGTGTGTGTGTGTGTGTGTGTGTGTGTGTGTGTGTGTGTGTGTGTGTGACACTCTGGCTCCGGGACGTTTGTATTTGAGCCAGGGTGTATTTTGTTTTGTTGGGTTTTGGGTGTATTTCTATGTTTGCATTTCTGTCACGTTCATTTCTAGGTTTGGTCAATGACTCCCAATCGGAGGTAACGAGTGGCAGCTGTCGGCTCGTTATCTCTGATTGGGAGCCATATTTAATCTGAATGTTTTCCTGTGGGTATTGTGGGTTTTTGTTCCAGGTTCAGTATTTTGTCACTGTTGGACTTCACTATCGTCTTTTGTTTTGTAGTTACGTGCTTTCTTTATTAAAGTCATCATGTTCACTCAACGCGCTGCGTATTGGTCTGCTCCCTTTATAGACGATCGTGACAGAAAAACCCACCATAAGAGGACCAAGCAGCGTGTCAAGCGGCAACAGGACCCAGCTCCAAAGGATTCATGGACATGGGAGGAGATACGGGCTGGAAAGGGTCCTTGGGCACAACCGGGAGAATATCGCCGCCCTCGTGAAGAGCTGGAGGCAGCTAAAGCCGAGAGGAGGTGGTATGAGGAGGCAGCACGGAGTCGAGGCTGGAAGCCCGTGGGTACTACCCAAAAATTTCTTGGGGGGGGGCTTAAAGGGAGTGTGGCGAAGTCAGGTAGGAGACCTGCGCCTACTCCCTGGACTTACCGTGGAGAGCGAGAGTACGGGCAGACACCGTGTTACGCAGTAGAGCGCATGGTGTCTCCTGTACGCAGGCATAGCCCGGTTCGGTACATTCCAGCTCCACGTATCGGCCGGGCTAGATTGAGCGTTGAGCCGGATGTCATGAAGCCGGCCCAACGCATCAGGCCACCAGTGCGTCTCCTCGGGCCAGCTTACATGGCACCAGCCTTACGCATGGTGTCCCCGGTTCGCCTACATAGCCCGGTGCGGGTTATTCCTCCTTCCCGTACTGGTCGGGCGACGGGGAGTATACAACCAGGTAAGGTTGGGCAGGCTCAGTGCTCAAGGGAGCCAGTACGCCTGCACGGTCCGGTATTTCCGGCGCCACCTCCCCGCTCCAGCCCAGTACCACCAGTGCCTACACCACGCACCAAGCCTCCTGTGTGTCCCCAGAGTCCTGTGCGTCCTGTTGCTGCTCCCCGCACTAGCCCTGAGATGCGTGTCCTCAGCCCGGGACCACCAGTTCCGGCACCACGCACTAGGCCTTATGTGCGTCCCCAGGGTCCAGCATGCCCTGTTGCTGCTCCCCGCACTAGCCCTGAGATGCGTGTCCTCAGCCCGGGACCACCAGTTCCGGCACCACGCACCAGGCCTATAGTGCGTCTCGGCCGGCCAGAGTCTGCCGTCTGCCCAACGGCGCCTGAACTGCCCGTCTGCCCAACGGCGCCTGAACTGCCCGTCTGCCCAACGGCGCTTGAACTGCCCGTCTGCCCAACGGCGCCTGAACTGCCTGTCTGCCCAACGCCGTCTGAACTGTCCGTCTGCCAAGCGCTGCATAAGCCGCCCGTCTGCCATGAGCCTTCAGAGCCGTCCGCCAGACCGGAGCCGCTAAAGCCTTCCGCCAGACAGGATCAGCCAGAGCCTTCCGCCAGACAGGATCAGCCAGAGCCTTCCGCCAGACAGGATCAGCCAGAGCCTTCCGCCAGACAGGATCAGCCAGAGCCTTCCGCCAGACAGGATCAGCCAGAGCCTTCCGCCAGACAGGATCAGCCAGAGCCTTCCGCCAGACCGGATCAGCCAGAGCCTTCCGCCAGACAGGATCAGCCAGAGCCTTCGGCCAGACAGGATCAGCCAGATCCGTCAGCCTGCCATGAGCAGCCAGATCCGTCGGCCAGCCATGAGCAGCCAGATCCGTCGGCCAGCCATGAGCAGCCAGATCCGTCGGCCAGCCATGAGCAGCCAGATCCGTCAGCCAGCCATGAGCAGCCAGATCCGTCAGCCAGCCATGAGCAGCCAGATCCGTCGGCCAGCCATGAGCAGCCAGATCCGTCGGCCAGCCATGAGCAGCCAGATCCGTCGGCCAGCCATGAGCAGCCAGATCCGTCAGCCAGCCATGAGCAGCCAGATCCGTCAGCCAGCCATGAGCAGCCAGATCCTTCAGCCAGCCATGAGCCGTCCAGCCAGGATCCGCCAGAGCCGTCCAGCCAGGATCCGCCAGAGCCAGCCAGCCAGGATCCGCCATTGAGTCCGGTGCTGTCCCTTAGCCCGGTGCTGCCCCTTAGTCCGGTACTGCCCCTTAGTCCGGTGCTGCCCCTTAGTCCGGTGCTGCCCTTTAGTCCGGTGCCGCCCCTTAATCCTGTGGGGTTTAGTTGGGGGGTGGTCATGTGGAGGAGGCTACGGAAGCGGATAGTGACTAAGGTGGGGTGGGGACCACGACCAGGGCCAGAACCGCCACCGTGGACAGACGCCCACCCAGACCCTCCCCTAGACTGTATGCTGGTGCGACCGGAGTTCGCACCTTTAGGGGGGGGTACTGTGACACTCTGGCTCCGGGACGTTTGTATTTGAGCCAGGGTGTATTTTGTTTTGTTGGGTTTTGGGTGTATTTCTATGTTTGCATTTCTGTCACGTTCATTTCTAGGTTAGGTCAATGACTCCCAATCGGAGGTAACGAGTGGCAGCTGTCGGCTCGTTATCTCTGATTGGGAGCCATATTTAATCTGAATGTTTTCCTGTGGGTATTGTGGGTTTTTGTTCCAGGTTCAGTATTTTGTCACTGTTGGACTTCACTATCGTCTTTTGTTTTGTAGTTACGTGCTTTCTTTATTAAAGTCATCATGTTCACTCAACGCGCTGCGTATTGGTCTGCTCCCTTTATAGACGATCGTGACAGTGTGTGTGTGTGTGTGTGTGTGTGTGTGTGTGTGTGTGTGTGTTTGCTGGTCTACATCTGTGTGATGTGATCAGATTATTCCAGTTCATGATAAAAATTATGTATTGTATTTTAACAGTCACAGTTCCAACCTATACATTTTTTCACCAATCATTTCTACAGTAAGATGTACAGTAGGCCTGACCATTTTTCATCTGTACTGTTACTTAGGGTTGCACTATCAAAAACCGAGCCTGTGTGTGTGTGTTCTGTTAGACATTTGTGTGATGTGATCAATCAGTTTATTCCTGTTCAGAATGAAAATGATTTATTGTATTTTAACAGCAACAGTTCGAACCTAGACAGATATGTAAGAGTGTTTTTAATGGGGAACAATAAACATGAATAGCTATTTATATGGGTATTTCATTTCATTGTTATTTGTTTTTGTCTATATTGCATTTGTTTTAGCCATAAGGGCAATGCAATGTACCCATATTTACATGTTTTCATAAGCTTGGGTCCCAGGAAAACACAGAATTTCTAATTTGGGTCCCAGGCTGAAAAAGTTTAAGAACCCCTGAGATAGAGGATAGGGAGAGTTTTGTTGATGCTGAGAATGGAATGTATATGTTTTTAAATAACAGACTAGTACACTTGAGGCAGAAACAGATTAGCACACTTGAATGTTGAATGCTTCTTGATTGAATGTTATTAGCTAAAGATAGAATACTTTCTGAGTGCATAACATTTTCAGAGCATGCTCAACACTAATGTCTAGCAGTTCTCATACAGTACATCATTCATTCAGTTCCAATGAAGCCACAAGGAAGATTGACAACTATTCTGCCTCACATACCTATCACACTATTGTACCAACCCAAAGTGTACCATGCTGACTCTGATATTTTCTTTTCACATTGTCCTTTCCAGCACAGTTCCAGCAACTATGGTGGATGCCAAACCAGGCCAGTGCAGTACACCTTGGCTCAGCAAAGTAGTGTAAATCAAAGAGTAAAGTTGCCTGTAAACGCTAATCTCTGTTTTGCATTTCCCCCACCAATAGTTAAGGTTATGGGGAATGGGACGCTGATCCTATATCTGTACCTAGGGAAAACTTCACTCCGGAGTGTTAATCAACTCATATAGTAACCAGCCATAGTATACATAAAAAAGGGGCTGGGTTTGTGTTCAGCGGGCATGTTGTTGGCGCTCTCAGTTGCCCGGCGGCGGTAGTAGCGGCGCAGGGCTTGGCTGCCCGGGTGGCACTGGCGCATGTGGAGGAAGTACTCGTCGGGCCGGTTGGATGTATAGCCGCAATCCTCGCACACGAAGATCTTGGAGCGGCGCTGGCGGTAGGCATACTGCTGGCACACGCCATGGATCTTCCTCAGGTGGGACTCGAGGGAGCAGCGCTGGGTGAAGGCCTTGTCGCACAGCTCGCAGCGGTACGGACGGATACCTGGCGGGAGGGGAGAGAGGGTGAGGACGGTGTGTGGGGGGGGGGGGAGGTGGAACATGAAATAGTGTGTGTCAGGGCCGTGCACAGACCTTTCAGGGGGTAGGTGCTCAAAATGAATGTTTTATTTCATAATGCATATCTCGAAATTCATAACATACCAAATGCCTCTGTAGCGGAACATATCATTTTATTCCTGTTATGCGGTGCCTTTTCTGTCCACAGGAAATAACATATCTTATTTAGTCTAAAATGTTTTGTTCCAAAGGGCTTAAAATATAAAGTTAGGTGTCCTTTACCATAAAAACACAAAGATATGGTTCTCAAAGGGAATTTTATGCATTTTGACCATTTTGTTTTCAGTGGATGTAGGTGTTTCTGCCATGTCCCCGGGTGCTATTCATCAACTTCTACGAGAAATATAAGCCATTAAATAATAAAATATTCAATATTTATTCATTATTTTATAGTCCTACTTAAAATATCAGTCATCAATACTTTTTTTTCATGATTAATGTATTTATTGTTACTGTATTTAAGATTTTCTGTGTCCTTGATTTCACTTTCCACCCTGTTAGTTTGTAGTAATACCCCTTAAAAAAACAGCCCCTTCCCACAATGACATCATGTTCAGGAAGCGTCAATAAGTGGTCCTCTGTAGCTCAGCTGGTAGAGCACGGCGCTTGTAACGCCAAGGTAGTGGGTTCGATCCCCGGGACCACCCATACACAAAAATGTATGCACGCATGACTGTAAGTTGCTTTGGATAAAAGCGTCTGCTAAATGGCATATTATTTATTATTATAATAATGTTTTGAGCGGGAAAACAACAGTGCAAAGCTAAGTAAGTATCAACACTCGGTTTTATTTATATTTTAATGTTTCATGATTTTCCAAAGATGATGCAATCTCTATTGCACTCCACACTGCCATTTCCCACCTGGACAAGAGGAACACCTACGTGAGAATGCTATTCATTGACTACAGCTCAGCGTTCAACACCATAGCTCATCACTAAGCTAAGGACCCTGGGACTAAACACCCCCCTACGCAACTGGATCCTGGACTTCCTGACGGGCGGCCCCCAGGTGGTAAGGGTAGGTAACAACACATCTGCCACGCTGATCTTCAACACGGGGGCCCCTCAGGGGTGAGTGCTCACTCCCCTCCTGTACTCCCTGTTCACCCATGACTGCATGGCCAGGCACGACTCCAACACCATCATTAAGTTTTCCGACGACACAACAGTGGTAGGCCTGATCACCGACAATGATGAGACAGCCTATAGGGAGGTCAGAGACCTGGCCGTGTGGTGCCAGGATAACAACCTCTCCCTCAACGTGATCAAGACAAAGGAGATGATTGTGGACTACAGGGGAAAAAAGATGACTGAGCACACCCCCATTCTCATCGACGGGGCTGTAGTGGAACAGGTTGAGAGCTTCAAGTTCCTTGGTGTCCACATCTCCAACAAACTATCATGGTCCAAACACACCAAGACAGTCGTGAAGAGGGCACAACAAAGCCTATTCCCCCTTAGGAGACTGAAAAGATTTGGCATGGGTCCTCAGATCCTCAAAAAGTTATACAGCTGCACCATCGAGAGCATCCTGACTGGTTGCATCACCGCCTGGTATGGCAACTGCTCGGCCTCCAACCGCAAGGCACTACAGAGGGTAGTGCGTACGGCCCAGTACATCACTGGGGCCAAGCTTCCTGCCATCCAGGACCTCTATACCAGGCGGTGTCAGAGGAAGGCCCCAAAAATTATCAAAGACTCCAGCCACCCTAGTCATAGACTGTTCTCTCTGCTACCGCACGGCAAGTGGTACCGGAGTGCCAAGTCTAGGTCCAAAAGGCTTCTTAACAGCTTCTACCCCCATGTGTTGGGCCATTGTCCTGTTGAAAAACAAATGATAGTCCCACTAAGCCCAAACCAGATAGGATGGCGTTTCGCTGCAGAATGCTGTGGTAGCCAGGCTGGTTAAGTGTGCTTCACGGTGGGAACCACACATGCGGAGATCATCTGTTCACCTACTCTGCGTCTCACAAAGACACAGCGGTGGGAACCCAAAATCTCAAATTTGGACTCATCAGACCAAAGGACAGATTTCCACCGGTCTAATGTCCATTGCTCGTGTTTCTTGGCCCAAGCAAGTCTCTTATTCTTATTGGTGTCCTTTAGTAGTGGTTTCTTTGCAGCAATTCGACCATGAAGGCCTGATTCACGCAGTCTCCTCTGAACAGTTGATGTTGAGATGTGTCTGTTACTTGAACTCTGTGAAGCATTTATTTGGGCTGCAATCTGAGGTGCAGCTAACTCTAATGAACTTATCCTCTGCAGCAGAGGTAACTCTGGTTCTTCCTTTCCTGTGGCGGTCCTCATGAGAGCCAGTTTCATCATAGCGCTTGATGGTTTTTGCGACTGCACTTGAAGAAACGTTCAAAGTTCTTGAAATGTCCCGTATTGACTGACCTTCATGTCTTAAAGTAATGATGGACTGTTGTTTCTGTTTGCTTATTTGAACTGTTCTTGCAATAATATGGACTTGGTCTTTTACCAAATAGGGCTATCTTCTGTATATACCCCCTACCTTGTCACAACACAACTGATTGGCTCAAACGTATTAAGAAGGAAAGAAATTCCACAAATTAACTTTTAACAAGGCACACCTGTTAATTGAAATGCATTCCAGGTGACTACCTCATGAAGCTGGTTGAGAGAATGCCAAGAGTGTGCAAAGCTGTCATCAAGGCAAAGGGTGGCTGCTTTGAAGAATCTGAAATATAACATATATTGTGTGTATATATATATAAAACAAATATATTAAAACGGTTACATGCATTTGTTAGGGAATGGCACCATCACTCAGTGCTCCTGAAATGCAGCGGCGTTACTGAGCACGCCGTGATGCAGACCCAGAGAGAAGACAAAAGTACCTTGAGAAGGAGAGACAGAGATGGCAGAGAGACAGGGAGACAGAGAAAATAAGAGGATAGTGGATGACAGAGAGAGAGAGAAGCGTGTTCTAAGAAGAAAAGTCCAGAGCAACAGCCAGGGCATCTTTTACCCCTCCCCCCACACCTCCCCCACTTCCTGAACATGACCCAATGCCAGGGCCCTCAAGGTTAGAGCAAGCTTGAAGCTGGCCACTTTGATGATTTATTAGTCAGGATCTATTTGAGTTGTGTTCACAACAGTTCACAATATTTGTGCTCTATTCTATATTACTAAACATACCCATGCCATTACTATGTTTTTTGTTTGATTGATTGGTTTATTGATTGATTCATTGGATAACTGATTGATAAACTGATTGGTCGATTGATTTAATGATTAGTTTACTAATTACAATACTAATAGTGCTTACTGTGTTTTAGGCAAAGACGTCAAGGTCAAAGCAAGACCAATGAACTGAGATCAAGAAACTTCAAGCCACCTTGGAAAAAGAGAAAAGGAAAAATACAAGAAGAGATTCCAACGCATTAAGGGAAACTCCTAATCTCCTCGCTCAAAAGTGAATGCCATGCTGAGACATCATCCTGTCCATCCAACCATTAGAAGAACCCTTCTGTTGCACTCATCATTGGTCGAAGACCAATGATGAGTGAGGCAGATGATTGCAAGAGTAAGTATTGGGAACTTAGTGATGAAGTACCGTCTGAAAACGCTCGCCCAGACTACTCTAGGTTTTTTTAAAGAAGAGAACTGGATTGAATGGAGATCTTTGTACCTTTGTGTGGACGAAGAGAAACTGGGCAACTGTTGAATCCAAGAAGAGAGTGAAATCCTTATTTTTGAGGGATAATGTGTCACATCACTACAGGGAGGAAACAAACTGTCACGCGAAACAAAAAGAAAATGCAAAAAAAGGTTGCTGACAGACACAATGAAGAATCTATACAGAAAGTTCCTGTCAGATAGTGAAGACTCAATCTCCTACTCTTTCTTCTACACCTTTAGGCCATTTTGGGTTGTGGAACCCACAGAAGCTGACCGTGAGATGTGCCAATGTAAAACCCACGAGAATCTCCAATTCATGACCTTTACAGCCGTGGGCTTTTATTGTCCAAAAATCTTGACGAGATGGCAGATGCCACTGTGTGCAACACCAAGTCTAAAACCTGTGCGTATGGTGAGTGTAAGGAGTGCCACCATACCACTCACACCCATGTGAAACCTCCATCAAACAAAGAAATTGCCCTGACCCAATGGTCAGTTGAGATCTCCAAAGATGAAGAACAGAGGACCAACGTTACAGTGAAGAAGGAGGTGATAACGACTGAGGACGAACTTGTCAGTCAGTTCCAGGACAGGCTCTTCAGGTTCAGGCACCACCTTTTAAACATCAGATGGCAGTATGCAGCGTACAGAGAGCTGAGGGAGAGATCAACGACTGTTTGATCCATGTGGACTTCAGCAAGAATTACTCCTGCAAATACCAGTCGGTTCATTTTGGAGGATCGCATCAGCAGGCGACCCTCCACACTGGAGTATTATATGCAGGAGCACAGCCTTCACCTGCTGCCTTCTGCTCCATCTCCCCATCAAGAAGGCATGACCCGTCAGAAATCTGGGCACACCTTGATCCAGTTCTGGAGATGGTTAAGGAGAGATACCAAGAAGTTTACCAGCTGCACTTCTTCAGCGACTGGCCAGCAAGCCAGTATAAACAGAAGGGAAACGTCTTCCTCTTTTCGACTGAACCATTCAAGCGAGGCTTCCACTACATAAACTGGAATTTCTTCGAGGCTAGATGGTGTTGGCAGGACCCGGAAGAGATCAGCCAACATGCTAGTGCGCCTAGGAGAAGACATTCCAGATGCTGAGGCACTGCTCATCAAGAGTCTGGAATCATCAGTAGAGCTGTTCTTTGTCAGCGAGAACAGTGTCGACACAAAGGTGCAGGAAATGATTGAGGTAGGTGTGTGCGCATACACACACAGAACTTATTTTTTGCATGTCAATTTTTTAACTGCGAGAAGCAGATCTTGTCTAGTGGCTGTGTGAGTAGGGGAATGTTTTCAAAGTTGTTCTAATCTCAGTATATTGTCTCATCTCTTCTCAGGTAACCCATCTAACTGCAGTGAAAGGCACAATGAAGATGCATCAAGTGATAAGTGTGTTGCCAGGTCACATCAAGTACAGAGACATAACCTGTCTCTGCCAAAGAGATGAGGGGGTCATGGACTGTCCCTGCTTTGAGTTAAAAGAAGCAACTCTAGAAGCTCCTGAGGCTCCAAGATCAACTAGAAGCTGCTGAGATGCCAAGATCTGTGTGCACCATTGAAACCCAGTGGCGACCAGGCCATTCACTCTCAGCATATTGGTCAGTGTTGTGTGGTGTCCTACGACAATGAGCCATACTCAGGAATCATAACAGATGTGGAGGAGGATAACATCCAGGTCAAGGACATGCACCGTAATGGAATAAACCAATTATTCTGGCCAAGCCCATTGTCACGCACTGACTTATGGGACTCTTTTATGTTGAGTCAGGGTGTGGATATCTATGTTTGTATTTCTATGTTTGGCCGGGTGTGATTCCCAATCAGAGGAAGCTGTCGCTCGTTGTCTCTGATTGGGGATCATACTTAAGTAGCTTGTTGGCACTCATTAGTTGTGGGATCTTGTTCCGTGTTAGAGGCTTGTATTTGTGTTTAGCCTGAGGACTTCATGTTACGTTGTTTTGTTGTTTTTGTTTCGTGTGTTTATTCGTTGTAATAAACATGTATGCATTTCACGCTGCGCCTTGGTCTGACCTGTCCTTCAACAAGCGTGACAGAAGATCCCACCAAAAATTGACCAAGCAGCATGCCCAGGAGCAGACATCCTGGACATGGGAGGAGATCCTGGACATGGGAGGAGATTCAGGCTAGGATGGATTGCCGTCCTTGGGAGGAGACAGTGGAGGCCCGGTTTAGAGAGGCGCAACGGCAACGCAGAAGGCGCCGGCCGAGGAGGAAGCCCGAGAGACAGCCCCAAGACATTTTTCGGGGGGGGGGCTAAAAGGGTGTTCGGGGATCGATGGAGAAGAACCCCGACCACTGCACCCGTGGGGGCTCAGGGAGGAGTCCTCACGGGAGGAGGACTGGGCGCAGAGAGTGAAAGACTGGTACAGTCGGAGATCTCTAACGTCAGTTCCCAGTCCGGTACGGCCCATGCCTGCTCCCCGCACCAAGCCAGTGGTGCGTGTTCCCAGTCCGGCCCGGCCCGTTCCTGCTCCCCGCACCAAGCCAGTGGTGCGTGTTCCCAGTCCGGCCCGGCCTGTTCCTGTTCCTCGCACCAGGCCAGTGGTGCGTGTTGCCAGTCCGGCCCGGCCCGTGCCTGCTCCCCGCACCAAGCCAGTGGTGCGTGTCGCCAGTCCGGCCCGGCCCGTTCCTGCTCCTCACACCAAGCCAGTGGTGCGTGTTTCTAGTCCGGTCCTGCCCGTGCATGCTCCTCGCACCAAGCCAGTGGTGCGTGTGTCCAGTCCGGCACGGCCCGTTCCACCGGTGCCTGGTCCGGCACCGGTCAGCTGCTCCACTCCGGAGCCAGAGCAGTCCACTCCACCGGGGTCCATTCCAGCTCCGGTCAGCTGCTCCACTCCGGAGCCAGAGCAGTCCGCTCCACCGATGCCCAGTCCAGCTCCGGTCAGCGGATCCACTCCGGAACCAGAGCAGTCCGCTCCACCGGGTTTAGTCCAGCTCCGGTCAGCGGCTCCAGTCCGGAGCCAGAGCAGTCCGCTCCACCGGGGTCCATTCCAGCTCCGGTCAGCTGCTCCACTCCGGAGCCAGAGCAGTCCGCTCCACCAATGCCCAGTCCAGCTCCGGTCAGCGGATCCACTCCGGAACCAGAGCAGTCCGCTCCACCGGGGTATAGTCCAGCTCCGGTTAGCGGCTCCAGTCCGGAGCCAGAGCAGTCCGCTCCACCGGTGCCCAGTTCAGCTCCGGTCAGCGGCTCCAGTCCAGACCCAGACGTCAGCCCCCCTCCAGGTTCGGGGTCTCACACACCAGGGTCCAGACAAGGCTTGGTATATCGTGGGAGGAAGGAGAGGGGAAGCAGCGCGCCGAGGTCCAGACCGGACCAGGGGCGCAACGGGGAGGCTGAGAGAATGTGGTCGTCACGCCCGGAGCCGGATCCGCCTCCGAGGCGGAATGCCCACCCGGACCCTACTCTGTTATGTAAGGTTTGTGCGGTCGGAGCCCGCACCTTTGGGGGGGGGGGGTACTGTCACGCCCTGACTTATGGGACTCTTGTATGTTGAGTCAGGGTGTGGATATCTATGTTAGTATTTCTATGTTTGCATTCTATGTTGTGTGTTTCTATGTTTGGCCGGGTGTGATTCCCAATCAGAGGCAGCTGTCACTCGTTGTCTCTGATTGGGGATCATACTTAAGTAGCCTGTTGGCACTCATTAGTTGTGGGATCTTGTTCCGTGTTAGAGGCTTGAATTTGTGTTTAGCCTGAGGACTTCACGTTACGTTGTTTTCGTTTCGTGTGTTTATTCGTTGTAATAAACATGTATGCATTTCACGCTGCGCCTTGGTCTGACCTGTCCTTCAACGAGCGTGACACCCATGCGACAACATCAGCTGGTACGCTGACAACCAGGTAGTATGCCTGATCCCAGAGCAACAGGCACTTAATAAAAGGTCTGTACATAAAAGACCACTTTGGAAACCATAGAGCTACAACTGGAGCAAAGGGACTTGCAATACGTGGAGGAGGGGATGGAGTGGAGTGAAGAAAAGGTAAGAGAGGGGTGGAGTGGGAAGGGTTTTGGAAGGTAGTGAAGTGGAGGAGAGGCGAGGAGGAGAGAGGTAAGAAGGGGGGGGGCACTTTTTAAAAGTTAATGTATCCTTATATGTATGACATATTTTATAAATGCTGTTTAACACTTTTTGAATAACCATCTTATTAAGCTTGAACCGTGAGCCCAGAATTGTTAGGAGCCAAATGAGTAGGGCTGTTTATAATAAAATGCCTGATTAGTGTTATTAAACTTGAACTAATAGTGATTTTCAAATACAATCCAATTGTTTTACATCTAGCTATGTTGTTCTAATGCAATACTCATGTTCTAATTATCTATTTTTGTGTTGTTTTACCAACTTAGGTTGACAATGTGTTTAAAAAGACAAAGTAAATTGAAGATGAAATACATAGAAAGTGGTTCTAATTATAAATGTAGTGTTTTTCTTTAACCAGTTCACAGATTTCTAAGATAATAAAACATCTTTCATTGTTTAAATATTTTGTTCATTATTGGTGTTAGTTCCACACTGCTATGCTTCATTCCACCCTGTTAGGTCTGTGTTTTAAAATCATAATTGAACAATACCATCAAATCTTATGTATATATTTGTGGTAACTTGTAGAGATAGAAGGGGTCAACTACATATGCAAAAATGTTGAACAAATTATGTTGTTATGCACTCTTATTAGGAAAAATGTGGTGCAAATAAAGTGCTGGTTCCCGATTAAATAAGACGTTTTGCTTAAAAATCATTGATTTATAATTATTTGAAGAAAATAAATACATTTAATAGAGTAAGGGACATTTGATATCTTAGAAAATCTACATCTAGATACATTGCATTCGGAAAGTGACTTACTCATAAATCTACACACAATACCCCATAATGACAAAGTGAAAACAGGTTTTTAGAAATTGTTGCAAATGTATAAAACAAAACAAAAACAGATACCTCATTTACATAAGTATTCAGACCCTTTGCAATGAGACTATAAATTGAGCTCAGGTGCATCCTGTATCCATTGATCATCCTTGAGATTTTTCTACAACTTGATTGGAGTCCACCTGTGGTAAAATCAATTGATTGGACATGATTTGGAAAGGCACACACCTGTTTATATATGGTCCCCACAGTTGATATTGCATGTCAGAGCAAAACCCAAGCCATGAGGTCGAAGGAATTGTCCGTAGAGCTCCGAGACAGGATTGTGTCGAGACACAGGTCTGGGGAAGGGTACCAAAAAGTTTAGAACCACCAAGACTCTTCTTAGAGCTGGCCGCCCGGCCAAACTGAGCCATCGGGGGAGAAGGGCCTTGGTCAGGGAGGTGACCAAGAACCCGATGGTCACTCTGGCCAAGCTCCTCTGTGGAGATGGGAGAACCTTCCAGAAGGACAATCATCTCTGCAGCACTCCACCAATCAGGCCTTTATGGTAGAGTGGCCAGACGGAAGCCACTCCTCAGTAAAAGGCACATGGAGTTTGCCAACAGGCACCTAAAGGACTCTCAGACCATGAGAAACAAGATTCTCTGGTCTGATGAAGCCAAGATGGAACTCTTTGGCCTGAATGCCAAGCGTCACATCTGGAGGAAACCAGGCACCATCCCTACGGTGAAGCATGGTGGTGGCAGCATCATGCTGTGGGGATGTTTTTCAGCGACAGGGACTGGGAGACTAGTCAGGATCGAGGGAAAGATGAACGGAGCAAAGTATAGAGAGATCCTTGATGAAAACCTGCTCCAGAGCGCTCAGGACCTTAGACTGGGGCGAAGGTTCACCTTCCAACATTATTGCTTTGTCATTATGGTGTATTGTGTGGGGGGAAAAAACTATTTAATCAATTTTAGAATAAGGCTGTAAAGTAATAAAATATGGAAAAAGTAAAGGGATCTGAATACTTTCCGAATGCACTGTATATACACGCATTGTTAACACTTTCAGATAGTTATGTGTATATCCCTGACAGGGTGGAAATATCCCTTGGTCCATGTGTGAACAATCTGCCTATATTTATTAGGATTTAAGTGCCTGAGCTTGATCAATATGTTTTTCTGAAAGTCAAACATGTCCTTTTTCTGATAGAATACAAAACAAATGAAAAATATATACGTTTTTTCACAAAAGTTATGTGGTCCAAAAGGCACCGCTTAGTAGTAATCACCAGCCTATTTATTTCTGCAACAACACACTCAATCATCATTACAAATTGTAAGCAAGTTAGTTACAGTGACTCCTAAAGACATGATTGACATCGGGAAAAGAGGGTGGGCTATCAGCAGATCATTGATGACGATGATTGATGTAAATCTGCTAGTTAGCTAGCTCCATTTCTTCACTGATTGTGATTTACCTGTCTTTCTGCCTCTCTCTGCTGCATGTATCAGCCAACCAGACCCAATATTGATGATGCTGTAGGCTAAATCAAGCGTTATCAAGTGTTAATCAAATGTTATGCTGCTGGGGCAGTACTGTTGATATTTAAACTAGATAGCTAGCTACACACACTCGACCGGTGACCGCATCTCTCAAGCCATGTATGTTTGGATACCTGGGAAAAAAACTGGGGAAAGGCACAACCAGGCACATTCGAACTCCCTACAGGGCAGATTAACAGGCGCAACCAACGGACGGGGTGGGGGGTGGCGAACTTGACGACGACTTGAGGGCAGTGGGTTCCGAACAGGGGAGAACGACTGCCCCCTCGCATTGAAGATTTCAAGTTAAAGGTCGACCGCAGCACTGTTTCCAGAAAACAGGATCCCCCATTATGGTGAATGGGGAAATGGCGATCTTCGTGGTCAATATTCGTGGATATATAAATAAATAAATCTAACACAATCATGGTACCAATAATTGCTTCTATTTCACCAGATGTATGTCCTTAAGCCGATTACTTTACAAAACACACAAAGTTATAGGGATAATTTAGTTGCTAATGGCAGCCTGCTGTCACGATCGTTTATAGACGGAACGGACCAAGGCGCAGCGTGATATGCCAACATGTTTATTTAACGAATAATCACAAAACAAAACAACAAACGAAACGTGAAGTCCAAGGTAGCACACAAACAACATACCTTACACGGAACAAGATCCCACAACTAACTAGTGCAAAAAGGCTGCCTAAGTATGGTCCCCAATCAGAGACAACGCGCGACAGCTGCCTCTGATTGGGAACCACACCGGCCAACATAGAAATAGACATACTAGATACTACACCATAGAAATATACAACATAGAACATACACACCCTGACTCAACATATACGAGTCCCTTGAGTCAGGGCGTGACAGTACCCCCGCCCAAAGGTGCGGACTCCGACCGCGCCACATAAACATAACAGGGTAGGGGCCGGGTGGGCATTCCACCTCGGAGGCGGATCCGGCTCCGGGCGTGACCACCACCTATTCTCCGCCTCCCTGTTGCGCCCCTGGTCAGGTCTGGACCTCGGCGCGCTGCTTCCCCTCTCCTTCCTCCCACGAAGTACCAAGCCTTGTCTGGACCCTGGTGTGGGAGACCCCGAACCTGGAGAGGGGCTGACGTCTGGGTCTGGACTGGAACCGCTGACTGGAGCTGGACCCGACGACGGTGGAGCGAACTGCTCTGGCTCCGGAGTGGAGCAGCTGACCGGTGCCGGACCAGGCACCGGTGGAACAGGCACGGGCCGTGCCGGACTGGACACACGCACCACTGGCTTGGTGCGGGGAGCAGGAACGGGCCGGACCGGGCTGACGACGCGCACCACTGGCTTGGTGCGGGGAGCAGGAACGGGCCGTACCGGACTGGCGACGCGCACCACTGGCCTGGTGCGGGGAGCAGGAACAGGCCGGGCTGGGCTGGTGACGCGCACCACTGGTTTGGTGCGAGGGACAGGAACAGGCCGGGCCGGGCTGGTGACGCGCACCACTGGCTTGGTGCGAGGGACAGGAACAGGCCGGACCGGGCTGGCGACGCGCACCACTGGCTTGGTGCGAGGGACAGGAACAGGCCGGACCGGGCTGGCGACGCGCATCACTGGCTTGGTGCGAGGGGCAGGAACAGGCCGGACCGGGCTGGCTACGCGCACCACTGGCTTGATGCGAGGAGCAGGAACGGGCTGGACCGTACTGGGAACACGCACCACTGGCTTAGTGCGGGGAGCAGGAACGGGTCGGGCCGTACTGGGAACACGCACCACTTGTTTAGTGCAGGGAGCAGGAACGGGCCGGACCGGACTGGCGACACGCACCACTTGCTTGGTGCGAGGAGCGGGACTGGGTTCCTTTATAAACCCCCGCTCCTTCTGCTGCCTAACCAGCTCCTCTCGCCGTGCCTCTACACCTTCCTTCTCCCTTTTTGCCTCCTGTAGCTCCTCCCTCTGACCGAATAACTCCTGCTCCCTCTGAACCAATAGCCCCCGTAACATGGTGGCCTCCTCTCCTAACCTGCAGATCCGCCCTTTAACGGCCTCCTGCTGCCTCGTCGTCCACACCGTGTGCCCCCCGCAAATTTTTTTATTGGGGTTGCCTCTCGGGTCTCCGTCGTCGGCACGGTTGGCGCCGTTACTCCTCTCCTGCCTGGGCATTTACCTTCGCCCATGGCCCTTTCCCCGCGAATATCTCCTCCCATGACCACAATTTGCCCACCTGTGACATCGCTACTCGCTCCTCCTGGGCACGCTGCTTGGTCCTCGTTTGGTGGGATCTTCTGTCACGATCTTTGACGAACGACAAGGACCAAGCAGCAGCGTGATATGCGTACATGTTTATTAAATATTAAACACAACGAAACGTGAAGTCCAAGGTAGCACACAAACAACATACCTTACACGGAACAAGATCCCACAACTAACTAGTGCCAAAAGGCTGCCTAAGTATGGTCCCAAATCAGAGACAACGAGCGACAGCTGCCTCTGATTGGGAACCACACCGGCCAACATAGAAATAGACATACTAGATACTACACCATAGAAATATACAACATAGAACATACACACCCTGACTCAACATATACGAGTCCCTTGAGTCAGGGCGTGACACCTGCAGTACCTCGGTCGGCCTTCAACTTGAGATACTCCATGAGAGGGGACAGCACTGAGCTAGCCTGCAATGTCACTTCCTGGAGTAGCTCAAGCTGCGCATGCAATGTTTCCAAAAACGCCACCATGTAGCAAGATGGCGACACGCTGAAATGACACTTCCTGATCTTCAAATGTGCCACTAAGCATTCTCATAGGAAACAATGGGGTGACATCATCGATGGCTTCATCCATATTTATTACAGTCCATGGTTCCAAACAACAACAAAAATAATATATTTTGGGGGGAAAATCACCACCCAAAAGGTCCCTTTGGAGACTTGAAGGGCAAAGGGGCATGTGCTCTGCACAGGTAGAGAGAGCCCTATCGGTGCACAGGCCTGGTGTGTGTGATTTGTTTCCACGAGTTTCACCTCTGTGTGTATCTGTGTGTTTGCATGCCCCTAACCTGTGTGTGATTGTGTGTGTGTGTGTGTGTGTGTGTGTGTGTGTGTGTGTGAGTATTGCATGCCTCTCACCTGTGTGAGTGCGCATGTGCCTCTTGAGGTCGAAGGTGTCGTTGAAGCCCTTGCCACAGTAGTGGCAGGGGTGTCTCTTCACCATGCTGTGGCACTTGAGGTGGCGCGTCAACATGCGCTGCAGGGGGAATACCTTGTCACATTCCGAACACAGGAAGTCACCCGAGCTGGGGGGGACACGTGGGCGGGGCTGAGGGAGAGAAGAAAGGGACACGGAGGTTATGACACAGACACTGCCTCAATGTACTGTAGGTGTACCTTGGACACATTCAATCAAACCTTATAACTCTAAAACTCTTCACATAAGTTGTAAGTTGTGAACTCTCCTTTTACAGTATATCACATAGAAAAAAACGTGGCAAAGTTTTTTAGAACCCAATTCATTCACAGTTCAATTTTTACCACATTCTTGCTGGGATAAGCCTTTTATATATCCTGTGCACATGCCTGCAAGTTTAGGAGTGGGAGTAGACATGGGCCGATGTGGATGGACCTCTATTTTAATAAATCCATTGAATATACACCATCACAAAGAAATCCATTATTCATTCATTTCATGCAGGTCCTAAGAAACATTATAAAACTAATCAAATGTGTTTTCAAAAGAATAGAATGGCATATTTTGAATGTAATTATGTTACTTGTCTGTGCAGCCTGTAGGCTACATGGCTGCGCCATGCATATGACATCAATAGTTATTTTGTTCATTAAACGGTCAAGACTTGGGGGGCTAAAAGGGTGGTCGGGGAGCGACAGAGAGGAGCCCCGACCACTGCACTCGTGGGGGCTATAGGAGGAGTCCTCACTGGAGGAGGACGGGGCGCGGAGTGTAAAGGACGGAGACAGTCATGCACCTCCAGCACCGGTTCCCAGTCCGGTACGCCCCTTACCTGCTCCCCGCACCAAGCCAGTGGTGCGTGTTCCCAGTCCGTCCTGGCCTGTTCCTGCTCCTCGCACCAAGCCAGTGGTGCGTGTTCCCAGTCCGGCCCAGCCTGTTCCTGCTCCTCGCACCAAGCCAGTGGTGCGTGTTCCCAGTCCGGTCCGGACTGTTCCTGCTCCTCGCACCAAGCCAGTGGTGCGTGTTCCCAGTCCGGCCCGGACTGTTCCTGCTCCTCGCACCAAGTCAGTGGTGCGTGTTCCCAGTCCGGTCCGGACTGTTCCTGCTCCTCGCACCAAGCCTGTGGTGCGCGTCGCCAGTCCGGCTCGGCCTGTTCCTGCTCCTCGCACCAAGCCAGTGGCGTGTGTCGCCAGTCCGGCACGGCCCGTGCCCGTTCAACCGGTGCCTGGTTCAGCTCCGGTCAGCGGCTCCAGTCCAGACCATGACGTCAGCCCCTCTCCAGGTTCGGGGTCTCCCACACCAGGGTCCAGACGGGTCCTGGCGTATCATGGGATGAAGGAGAGGGGAAGCAGCGCGCCGAGGTCCAGACCAGACCAGGGGCGCAACAGGGAGGCGGAGAGTAAGAGGTCGTCACGCCCGGAGCCGGATCCGCCTCCGAGGCGGAATGCCCACCCGGCCCCTACCCTGTTATGTTTATGTTGTGCGGTCGGAGTCCGCACCTTTGGGGTGGGGCACTGTCACGCCCTGACTCAGGGGACGCTTATATGTTGAGTCAGGGTGTGTATATTCCTTGTTGTGCTTTTTCTATGTGTGGTATTCTATGTTTGTATTTCTATGTTTGGCCCAATCAGAGGCAGCTGTTGCTCGTTGAAACTTAGGCAGCCAGTTTTCCTGCCTGTGTTGTGGGATCTTGTTTGTGTTCGGTGAGTTTGGGCTTGTTGGTGATTAGCCTTCCGACGTCACGTTTCGTTGCCTTTTGTTGTTTTGTATGTTTATTCAGTACAATAAACATGGATGCATGGAACTGCTGTCATATAAAAAAAAGTGATTACCATTACACTGCAGTGGCGGTCGGTGCCGTTTGCAGTGGTGGTCGGTGCCGTTTGCAGTGGCAGTCGGTGCCGTTTGCAGTGGCGGTCGGTGCCGTTTAAGATGAGGGAGGACGATATTGTTTTTTATGAGCATGGTCTTATTTCTATTACAGCATATTGGATGACTGTCATTCATATTCCATTCACCCAGTTCAATGTAACATCAATAGGTTTAGGCTACTACATGATACTCAAATTTTCCCTATATCCATCATGAGGTTCCTACAACCTAGCGTATTAATGAAAGTTTACAACGTAGGTGCACACAGGTCAAGATTAAATGTTGAGGTGACAGACAGTGACACATGGACAGACAGTGACACATTCAATACTGCCATGCACACCCTTGCCTGCATCTAACTGATCTAGTGTGTAATCATTACTCCAACAGTTGCAAACAAGCGGACAAACTATTGGACAAATGCAGGTATGTTTTTCCCTGTTTCTTTCCGTTTGCTTTAGTTTAAGAAACATTTTTCAACAGAATCAGCGGAATGAATACACCCCGATCATACGTAAACACAGTTCACTTTCATAGCAGCCACATTGTATTCCTTCTCGCATCTACGGTTTCTCTTCCTCTCACCTTTTCCCTTCGCTTGTGGACTTCAATGCACATCACATCAGCTGTCTGTGACCAGGCAAAAAAAAACTTTACAAGACAAACCATATCATAACTGCTAACCGCTACACACAGCCTACATTGTTGTTACCATATTAGCTAAAGTAATATCATAGTCAACATAGCTAATAGAACTAACACGTTAGTAAACCCGCTACAATCATGCAGTACAGTGTACAGTCAGTAAGCAGTTTAGCAGTTATACCGGTGAGCCCCCGGTGGCAATAATTTAGTAAAATCAAAAGCTTACCTTGTTTTGAAAGAGTTCCAGTGTTGGATAGTCATAGCCAGCTAGCTAACATAGCATCCCTCTGTTTGAGCCAGGGTGTTTGAGTAGGCTAAACAAGCTAGCTGCATTTGCTAGCTAACTAAGTGGGAAGAAAAGACAAAATATCTCTCTCACTTCTCCTTCTTTTTTGAATACATTTATTTGTTCAAAACTGTTCAACTATTGTCTTTCTTTGAGTCAACTACTCAGCACATTTTATGCACTGCAGTGCTAGCTAGCTGTAGATTATGCTTTCAGTACTAGATTAATTATCTGATCCTTTGATTGGGTGGACAACATGTCAGCTGCAAGAGCTGTGACGTCCTGTGAAAGTGGTCATAATTACTGTGTAAGTCTATGGAAGGGGGTGAGGACCATGAGCCTCCTAGGTTTGGTATTGAAGTCAATGTAACCAGAGGAGGACAGAAGCTAGCTGTCCTCCGGCTACACCAGGGTGCTATCCTACAGAGTGCAGTTGAGGCTGCTGTAGATGTTCATTGCAAAACAGTGTGTTTTAATAAATTATTTGGTGACGTGAATATATTTTGTATAGTTTTATCTAAAAAATAATAACTTTTTTTATGTTTCACTATTGTTATTTTTATGGAATTCACTGAGGAGGATGGTCCTCCCCTTCCTCCTCTGAGGAGCCTCCACTGTTACACAGGTGCACCTTGTGCTGGGGACAATAAAAGGCCACTCTAAAATGTGCCGTTTTGTCTCACAGCACAATGCCACAGATGTCTCAAGTTTTGAAGGAGCATGCAATTGGCAAGCTGACTGCAGGAATACCCACCAGAGCTGTTGCCAGATAATTGAATGTTCATTGCTCTACCATACGTCGCCTCCAACGTCGTTTTAGCGACTTTGGCAGTACATCCAACCGGTCTCACAACTGTAGACCACGTGTTACCACGCGAGCCCAGGACCTCCACATCCGGCTTCTTCACCTGTGGGATGGTCTGCAATGAGCCACCCGGACAGCTGATGAAACTGGGTTTGCACAACCTAAGAATTTCTGCACAAACTGTCAGAAACCATCTCAGGGAAGCTCATCTGCGTGCTTGTCATCCTCACCAGGGTCTTGACCTGACTGCAGCAAATGCTCACCTTCGATGGCCACTGGACAAGTGTGCTCTTCATGGATTAATCCCAGATTCAACTGTACCGGGTAAATGGCAGACAGTGTGTATAGCATCGTGTGGGCGAGCGGTTTGCTGATGTCAATGTTGTGAACAGAGTGCCCCATGGTGTCGGTGGGGTTATGGTATGGGCAGGCATAAGCTACGGACAACGAACACAATTGCATTTTACCGATGGCAATTTGAACGCACAGAGATACCGCGATGAGATCCTGAGGCCCATTCTCGTGCCATTCATCTGCTGCCATCACCTCATGTTTCAGCATGATAATGCATGGCCCCATGTCGCAAGTATTTGTACACAATTCCTGGAAGCTGAACATGTCCCAGTTCTTTCATGGCCTGCAAACTCACCAGACATGTCACCCCTTAAGCATGTTTGGGATGCTCTGGATCGACTTGTACGACAGCGTGTTCCAGTTCCCGCCAATATCCAGCAACTTCGCACAGCCATTGAAGAGGAGTGGGACAACATTCCACAGGCCACAATCAACAGCCTGATCAACTCTATGCGAATGAGATGTGTCTCGCTGCATGAGGCAAATGGTGGTCACACCAGATACTGACTGGTTTTCTGATACACGCCCCTACCTTTTTTTAAAAAAGGTATTGGTGACCAACAGATGCATATCTGTATTCCCAGTCATGTGAAATCCATAGATTAGGGCCTAATGCATTTATTTCAATTGACTGATTTCCTTCATGAACTATAACTAAGCCTAAAACATCTGGTTCTCGATGAACATAATTTTTTTCATGAAAGTTACTCTTTATGGTCTTGATGGTTGCTAGGCAGCGCCAGTTACTACTATCAAGCAGTTCTCAACGCTGCTAGGCATGCCACTTGAATCACCCAGCTCTTTGCATAGCCCAGCCACAACATGCATTTTTGTTAACCACAACTGGATGGATCCATAAAGAATTACATAAATATCACTGAATGTTATTGGAATAAAGTAGGCTAATGCAATTGAACGACTAAAACTATTGCTTATTGAAACTCCCAAAGCCATCCAATTGTTATAATACATTTGAATCAATAGCCTACACGCGTATGGTCAACTATTTCATTACCATTTCGCACTGCTTTGAGACAAGTGTGGGGTCTTGTCACGACTTCCGCCGAGGCTGCCTCCCCTCCTTGTTCGGGCAGGCTTCGGCGTTCGTCGTCACCGGCTTACTAACCACTGCCGCCCCAATTATCATCATCACATTTGTCTTGTCTTGTCAATCACGCACACCTGGTTCTAATCCCCTCATTAGTCTGTGTATAAGTGTTCCCTCTGCCCCCTTGTCCTTGTGGGTAATTGTTTGAATGTGAGAGTAGTGTAGCTCGGTGGAGCTACTCGCACCATTTTGTTGCCAGGGTAGATATTTCCCCTGTGCCTATGTATTGTATGGAGATACCGTTACAGTGTATTGCCAGGGTAGATCGTTTCCCCTTTGCCTGTTTCGTTTGTCGCTATTCCAGCGTATTTTGTGTAACGAAGGAATAAACTCTGTATTCGGTGATTACCCTCCTGTGCCTGACTCCTTCCATCACACTCATCACAGGTCTCTTGATAAATCAATCAATGTCAGATTTTTCTTTTCACTGAATCTCCATTTTGATATTGGTTAGGCTACAATTAGGCTGTGGAAATGTTATCTAAATTATGGTGAGTACTGCTCATGATCATCTTGTTTAGTTGGCTCATTTATTAGCACTGATCAGAACATTTTGCCAGCATGTTAGGCTATGTAGCTTAACAAGTTCTTCACTAAGCCTACTCCCGACCAAAAGACCAAAAGCCTGTGACTTGTCTTAATCAATCAATGTGATTTTGTTTCACTGAATCTACATCTGTAGCTATATTTGGTTAATTCTCTGGCTGGGTATATAAGTGGAGGTGGTATAGCTTATATATTCATTTGCTCATCGATCACTGATCAGAAACATTTAACATGCAAAAATGTAGCCTATTATTTTGCTCAGTCTTTTGCTCGATCGTGTATAGGCAACTCCAAAAGCCTGCAGAGGTTGTGAAATATGAACATGAGATTAAAATATAGATTGCTGTTATTTTCTATCAGTATCATGATGAAGATACTCTCAATGTACTCTGAACAAAAATATAAACGCAACATGAAACAATTTAAAAGATTTTACTGAGTTACAGTTCATAAAAGGAAATCAGTCAATTTAAATAAATAATCTATGGATTTCACATGACTGGGAATACAGATATGGAAAAAATTAAGAGACCACTGCAGATTTTTCTTAAATCAGCATCTCTACATGTATGACAGCCATTCCATTCCAGTGTCTGTTGAATTCCAACACAGGCACACCTCATTCTACTGAATTAGGTACTGATTAGGTGATCACATGAACTAAATCTTATTTAACGAGGAAAAGTATAAAAACCACTGCTGTGGTCATCACTATCCTCTTGCAATAGGACCAGCTGGATGGCAAAAACAGTGCTAATAGTACCTCAAAAGTAATATTAATCAAAAAATAACAATTGACCATGCCAAAAGAGTTGAAAAGGAACGTTTTGAGTGAGGAAAAGAAGGGTTCAATTCTGGCTTTACTGGCAGAGGGATACAGTGAGTGTCAGGTTGCTTCCATCCTTAAAATGTCAAAGACGGCAGTTCATAAGAACAAGGTCAAGCAGCAGACATTGGGGACAACAAAGCTACAGACCGGCAGAGGGCGAAAACGACTCTACTGACCGGGATGACCGCCAACTCATTCGAATGTCACTCAACAACCGTAGGATGATATCAAGTGACCTACAAAAAGAATGGGAAATGGCAGCTGGGGTGAAGTGCAAGGCGAGGACGGTTCGAAACAGGCTCCTAGGGGCAGGGCTGATGTCGTGCAAAGCTAGAAAAATGAGAAGCAAAGAAGAGACAGGCTGAGGTTTGCAAACGACCATTATGGAGTGGGCCGTAGAGGACTGGAGTAAGGTCATCTTCTCTGATGAGTCCAATTTTCAGCTTTGCCCAACACCTGGTCGTCTAATGGTTGGACGGAGACCTGGAGAGGCCTACAAGCCACAGTGTCTCACACCCACTGTGAAATTTGGTGGAGGATCGTTGATGATCTGGGGTTGCTTCAGCAATGCTAGAATCGGGCAGATTTGTCTTTGTGAAGGACGCATGAATCAAGCCACGTACAAGGATGTCCTGGAAGAAAACATACTTCCTTTTGCTCTGACATTGTTCCCCAACTCTGAGGATTGTTTTTTCCAGCAGGACAATGCGCCATGCCACACAGCCAGGTCAATCAAGGTGTGGATGGAGGACCACCAGATCAAGACCATGTCATGGCCAGCCCAATCTCCAGACCTGAACCCCATTGAAAACTTCTGGAATGTGATCAAGAGGAAGATGGATGGTCACAAGCCATCAAACAAAGCAGAGCTGCTTGAATTCTTGCGCCAGGAGTGGCATAAAGTCACCCAACATCAATGTGAAAGACTGGTGGAGAGCATGCCAAGACGCATGAAAGCTGTGATTACAAATCTGGGTTATTCCACCAAATATTGATTTCTGAACTCTTCCTTAGTTAAAACATTAGGATTGTGTTGTTTAAAAATGAATATGAACTTATTTTCTTTGCATTATTCGAGGCCTGACAACACTGCATCTTTTTTGTTATTTAGACCAGTTGTCATTTTCTGCAAATAAATGCTCTAAATGACAATATTGTTATTTGGAATTTGGGAGAAATGTTGTCAGTAGTTTATAGAATAAAACAAAAATGTTAATTTCACCCAAACACATACCGTATTTTCCGCACTATAAAGCGTACCGGATTATAAAGCGCACCTTCAATGAATGGCCTATTTTAGAACTGTTTTCATATATAGGGCGCACCGGATTATAAAGCGCATAGAATAGAAGATACTGCAGTCAAACGTTTGACTGGGGTTGCGTTATGCATCCACTAGATGGAGCTGTGCTAAAGGGAATGTCAACAAAACAGTCAGATAAAGTCAAACTTTATTAAGCGTTCTGACAACTCCGTTCACTCCCATGGTAACGTTGTTCAAACGTTAATGTGCATATTAACAATATCTCCCAGCCTTGCTCACTCTTCTCCCAAACGTGGAGGGGAACTTTTCCCTGATTCAGTAAACACGTAGTAAAAGAAACAGTCTGATACCACTAAATCAAACGTTAGTGCATAACTCAACATTGTTCAGTTACGTATAACACGTAAAGCTCACTTTTTCAGTTCTTTCCCCGTCCACGAATCGCTCGAATTCTTCTTCTTCAGTGTCCGAATTGAACAGTTGGGCGACTATGGCATCCAACCTGCCCGGCTCCCTCTCGTCGTTATCCGAGTCAGTGTCGCTGCTGTTGCCTGGCAGTTCAGAGATTATTCCTGCCTTCGTGAAAGCTTTGACCACAGTTGAGACTGATATATCAGCCCAGGTATCCACGATCCATTGGCAGATAGTGGCGTAAGTCGCCCGGCGCTGTCTCCCCGTCTTGGTGAACGTGTGTTCGCCTTCTGTCATCCACTGCTCCCACGCAGCTCGCAGTCTAGCTTTGAACGCCCTGTTGACACCAATATCTAGCGGCTGGAGTTCTTTAGTTAATCCACCCGGAATGACGGCAAGCTCCGAATTAGTTTGCTTCATTTGTTTTTTGACAGCATCGGTGATATGGGCGCGCATTGAGTCGTAGATCAATAGGGACGGAGCTGTGTGGAAAAAGCCACCCGGTCTCTTGACGTAAATTTCTCTCAGCCACTCACTCATCTTTTCCTCATCCATCCATCCCTTCGGGCTAGCTTTGATGACGACACCGGCTAGAAAGTTTTCTTTTGGCAAGGTCTTCCGCTTGAAAATAACCATGGGTGGAAGTTTCTGGCCATTAGCCTGGCAGGCGAGAACTACAGTGAAGGATGACTTCTCATTCCCTGTGGTGCGTACAGACACCGTACTGGTCCCCGTTTTCTCCACAGTGCGGTTCACGGGAATATCAAAGGTGAGTGGAACCTCGTCCATGTTGGTGATGTGCTCTGGCCGGATCTTCTTTACAGTGATTTTCTTTTTGCAGTACGCGCGGAAAGTGACCAGCTTTTGGCAGTTGCTGCGAGACGGTAGTTCGTGTGCGGATGGAGAGATTACGTCTTTTCATAAAACGAAAGCACCAAGAAGGACCGCCTCGAAATTCATCGATGATCATGTCCCGTGCTAGCACTGTTGCCTTAATTCGAATAGTGACTGTAGAGACGCTTCTACTTGCTGCTCTCTGTTCAACAACCCACTGTTCGAGTTTGTCCTCTAACTGTGGCCATCTCGCTTTGTTCCCTCGGAAACTCTGTTTAGTCTTCTTTACTTGGCGCAGGTCATCTTCTTGCTTCCTCCACTTCCGTACCATTGATTCATTAATGTTGAATTCTCTCGCTGCTGCTCTATTCCCATATTCTACTGCGTGACTGACAGCCTTGAGCTTGAACTCTGCGTCGTAAGCGTGTCTCTTGAAAGGTGCCATTTTGGGGTCTTTATACACACACAAGTGGTGTGGGACTGTGAGTAAGCACAGTACCGGTGTTTACTGACTACGGTAGCCGTAATGATGCAAGCGGTGCGGCTTTGTAGTTTACCAGTCGTACTGAAACATTTCATTATTATTAAATTGTTTTTATTGGTTTTTATAATAATAATAATAATAATATGCCATTTAGCAGACGCTTTTATCCAAAGCGACTTACAGTCATGCGTGCATACATTTTTGTGTATGGGTGGTCCCGGGGATCGAACCCACTACCTTGGCGTTACAAGCGCCGTGCTCTACCAGCTGAGCTACAGAGGACCCCTCCAAAGATTTTTCATACTGAAACATTTTGACAGAGCGCCTTGAGCGCCGTGTACAACCAGTATGGATCAACCAATTAACCAATTGATCCATATATAAAGTGCTCCGGATTATAAGGCGCACTGTCGTTTTTTGAGAAAATTAAAGGCTTTTAAGTGCGCCTTATAGTGCGGAAAATACGGTACCTATAAATAGTAAAACCAGAGAAACTTATGTTTCAACTATGACAGACAAATGACACAGGTCAAACGTTTTCTGTAAGTCTTCACAAGGTTTTCACACACTGTTGCTGGTATTTTGGCCCATTCCTCCATGCAGATCTCCTCTAGAGCAGTGATGTTTTGGGGCTGTCGCTGGGCAACACGGACTTTCAACTCCCTCCAAAGATTTTCTATGGGGTTGAGATCTGGAGACTGGCTAGGCCACTCCAGGACCTTGAAATGCTTCTTACGAAGCCACTCCTTCGTTGCCCGGGCGGTGTGTTTGGGATCATTGTCATGCTGAAAGACCCAGCCACGTTTCATCTTCAATGCCCTTGCTGATGGAAGGAGGTTTTCACTCAAAATCTCACGATACATGGCCCCATTCATTTTTTCCTTTACACGGATCAGTCGTCCTGGTCCCTTTGCAGAAAAACAGCCCCAAAGCATGATGTTTCCACCCCCATGCTTCACAGTAGGTATGGTGTTCTTTGGATGCAACTCAGCATTCTTTGTCCTCCAAACACGACGAGTTGAGTTTTTACCAAAAAGTTTTCAACTGACCAAATGACATTCTCCCAAACCTCTTCTGGATCATCCAAATGCACTCTAGCAAACTTCAGACGGGCCTGGACATGTACTGGCTTAAGCAGGGGGACACGTCTGGCACTGCAGGATTTGAGTCCCTGGCGGCGTAGTGTGTTACTGATGGTAGGCTTTGTTACTTTGGTCCCAGCTCTCTGCAGGTCATTCACTAGGTCTCCCCGTGTGGTTCTGGGATTTTTGCTCACCGTTCTTGTGATCATTTTGACCCCACGGGGTGAGATCTTGCGTGGAGCCCCAGATCGAGGAAGATTATCAGTATCTTGTATGTCTTCCATTTCCTAATAATTGCTCCCACAGTTGATTTCTTCAAACCAAGCTGCTTACCTATTGCAGATGCAGTCTTCCCAGCCTGGTGCAGGTCTACAATTTTGTTTCTGGTGTCATTTGACAGCTCTTTGGTCTTGGCCATAGTGGAGTTTGGAGTGTGACTGTAATACAGGTAACGAGTGGAGGACAGAGGAGCCTCTTAAAGAAGAAGTTACAGGTCTGTGAGAGCCAGAAATCTTGCTTGTTTGTAGGTGACCAAATACTTATTTTCCACCATAATTTGCAAATAAATTCATAAAAAATCCTACAATGTGATTTTCTGGAGAAATAAATTCTCAATTTGTCTGTCATAGTTGACGTGTACCTATGATGAAAATTACAGGCATCTCTCATCTTTTTAAGTGGGAGAACTTGCACAATTGGTGGCTGACTAAATACTTTTTTCCCCCACTGTATATATATATATATATATATATATATATATATATATATATATATATATATATATATATATATATTATATATCTAATCAATATCTGTTGGTCAACGATACCTTTAAAAAAAGGTAGGGGCGTGGATCAGAAAACCAGTCAGTATCTGGTGTGACCACCATTTGCCTCATGCAGCGCGACACATTTTGTTCGCATAGAGTTGATCAGGCTGTTGATTGTGTCCTGTGGAATGTTGTCCCACTCCTCTTCAATGGGTTCTACATGGAACCCAAAAGGGTTTTGTCTCAAACCCCCCAAAATAATCCTATCAGGACAGCCGAGGAACCCTTTTTTTTAACCCTTTCTTTCAGTTGGCTTCCTATGAGTGATGAACGAAACCTGGAATGATGGCATTCCGAGACTATCTACCTATGTACTGTAGGCATACAACCGTAGTTTTACAGCAACCAACAGAGATTTATTTTCTTCTATTTATGTAAGATTTTATTTTTCAAACAATATAAATATACACAGAACATAAAGACGCACACAAACATCAACGACATAACACCTGCCCAGACCCACATGCTCCCACCGCCTCCATCTCCAGTGTCTGCAAGACTCTATGCCACATTACCTCAAACTGAGCCACTCTGCCATTCTCTGTTGCCAACACCCTTCAATATTAAAATATAATGCATTTGATTCTTCCACCAATGATGGAGGATCACTTGATTTCCAGCTTTCAAGTAAAAGTTTAACAGACATTTCATGGGCAGCATAGCTCATTGACACATAGTAAAAGTTTACCTTGGCTCGGGAGACCAGAGCCAGAGCAGCAGGGTGATAGAAATTATTCTGGCTCTGGCCCATGGTCCGGGACAGGAGATTAGACCAACCATGGCCCCTGTCTGGCCCTAACCCTGGTTCTTCCCCTGGTACTGGTACTGGTCCTTGTCTACTTATTGGCCCAGCCCCAAGTGCTGAAGTCGAGGAGGGGGTAGCTGGCTCTGGCAGAGCCACAGGTTTAGGGTGGTCAGGGCAGATGACTGTTGTAGACTGTACCTCAGCATTCTCACTCACTGAAAAGGTAGGGAGACAGACTGAGAACATGCATAGACATATTATTCATAAGAAATAACCAGCATATGAGGCAACATCATTATCAAACTGCCTGTGGGGCTATTCTATAATATTATATCCTCTGATAAAACAAACCTGTAACTTTCCTAAAAATTACAACACTACAATCAGTAAATGCAAATATGGATCATCTTATTTTTAATTATTAATTGATCAAAGCAATATTGGGAGAAAAAATGTTTTAATAAATACAGTAAGAACTGACCTGATCGGTTGTCCTCTTTCCAGTCTGTCTGTTCTGGGTCTCTCCACCTCCAACCTCCACATGCCCCCTGTTTCTTCTTTTTCTTATACAGTAGGAATGACCGCGGCATCCTCTCGCTCTCTTTATTTATCTCTCGCTCTTGTCTCTGTATGAAAGTTCAACTTTCTGACCCTGAGGCAACTGTTAAATGCTCCTGCGTCCCACCACTTTTGGTTTTGTGTTCAGCTACAGGACCAGGTATCACCTTAATCCCCCCCCCCCCCCCCCCCATCCCCCCTCCCCCGGCCCTCCCATCACCACCCTTCCTATACCCTCCAACCAACGGCCATTGTCCAGGTAACTCAAGAAAATCACAAGGCTCATTTCCATAGCACTCATTGCGATGGTGGGGGCGGGGGGGTTTACTGGTGTGCACCTGCGTTGACTGTGTGTGTGCACCTCTTTTAACTGGTCCCCCACTTGTTTTGCATGCCAGGCTGTGAGAATCTGGCCTCCACATTCAAGCCATGCAAATGTGGGCCGGCAGTGCCTGGACAGAGGGCACGGTCGGAGTAACAGGAGCACGCACGGAAAAGCTACAGCCTGAACTGCTAGGAAAATCTACCTTTTCTATTCCACCCTGCTTGAATTGTCTGGTAGATTTAGGTCACTCAAAAAACACAGACAATGGTCATTCAAGTGCAATAGAAAGGGGTAATTCCTCTACTGTTTGCCCTCCGTTGACTGCTCGGTTTAGAGACACATTTGTTAGCGTTCCATCCCCACTCATGGCTGTTGATTTCTTGAATGGAAACAAAGAGTCATTGGAATGATGGAATTGAAAGGAAATTACTGGTATAAGAAATAAGGTTGGAAACTCCTACTAGTTTATGCCTCCAAAGCTTTTATACTTGTGGGAAGTAGTGACCCACTGGGCACAGAAGTCAATTCAACGTCTATTCCATATTGGATCAACGTCATTTCATTGAAATGACGTGGAAACAACGTTGATTCAACCAGTGTGTGCCCAGTGTGGAACCAGTATACACTTCAGGAAAAAGGAGATATTATTGGGATGCATCCAGTGTGAGCTCCCATGTGCCCCATGTCTATATCTATGTTATAAGATATCTGCATACCAAAAAAAAAACTACGAGCCAGTTCCTTGGACACAGAACACAGAGCAAAAAGCACTTTCGACTGCACACTTTGAGTTTAGGCTTAATCTAGATCCGAGAAACCAGCCCCATGTTCCTTGAAATCTATGTTTCATTTTTCAGAACTCCCCTAAACTCTTTTGGAATCATCTTTTGTAATGGTATAGTAGTCCTGTATTAGGGTAATAGTAGTATTACACAGTGGTGTAAAGTAACTAAGTAAAATACTTTGAAGTACTAATTAACTCGTTTTTTAGGGTATCTGTACTTTATTATTTATATATTTTTACAACTTTTACTTTTACTCCACTACATTCCTAAAGACAATATGTACTTTTTACTCCCATAACTTTTCCCTGACACCCAAAAGTACTCAGTACTCGTTACACTCATTACGCACCTATCAATATGAGAAGTTGTCTCTTAACTGGCGGACTCACTAAACACAAATACTGTGTTTGTAAATTATGTCTGCGTTTTGGAGTGTGCCCCTGTCTGTCTGTCATTTTTTAAATAAAAAATAATAAAAATGTGCCGTCTCGTTTGTTTAATATAAGAAATTTGATGTATAGCATTTATTTTTACTCAAGTATGACAATTGCGTACTTTTTGCACCCCTGTACTTAAGTACATTTAAAACCAGATACTGTTAGACTTTTATTCAAGTAGTATTTTACTGGGTGATTTTCACTTCTACAAGAGTCATTTTCTATTAAGGTATCTTTACTTTTACTTAAGTTTGACAATTAAGTACTTTTTCCACCACTGGTCCTACACTCTTAGAAAAAAAGGTTCCAAAAGGGTTCTTTGGCTGTCCTCATAGGATAAACCTTCTTGGTTCCAGTTAGAACCCTTTTTGGTTCCAGGTAGAACCCTTTTTGGTTCCAGGTAGAACCCTTTTCGGTTCCAGGTAGAACCCTTTTGGGATCCATGTAGAACCCTATGTGGAAAGGGTTCTACATGGACCCTTAAAGTGTTCTACTTGGAACCAAAAGGGTTCTACCTGGAACCAAAAAGGGTTCTTCAAAGGGTTCTCCTATGGGGAAAGCCGAAAAATATTCTTAGGTTCTAGATAGCACCTTTTTTTCTAAGAGTGTATAGTTGAAAGAGAGAGGAACGGAACTCATGGCTCATTTCACTGGATTCTGAATGGCAAATACAGCTGCAGCAGCCAGACATGAAACCCCAACATGCAAATGCCATAGAGGTCAACAGAAGAACATCCCAACACAACAGCAAGAGAGTCCTTTACATAGTTAAGAATGGTTTTCAATTGTCCTCAGGAAACTGTCAGCATGGATGGTGCTAAAGAAATCGTGTAAGCCTCAGAGGTTATTACTGTAAGGTAAAGCTGAAAAGGGTTGGGGAGGTCCTGGGCGAGGGGGTGGGATGGGGTTGTTGGTTTATTTAGCCCTTTCTCGTAATGTGCATACAATTTATGAATAATCAAAAAATTATCACACACAAAATACAAAAAAGTTTTCAATTAATTTCAATAGCTGAGTCTCCCTCCCTATTCTTTAGACTGACTAAATGGGAGAATCTATTGAAGGTATTGTAGTGAACGGTGGGGGAAGGGAAGTGAACCCGAGTCACTGGCGTGAAAAGGCAAACACCCTACACATCACACCAATAGGGTTAACCCACGTGGTGGGAATTGTAACGTGGCTCATATAGCTAGGATCGCTACAGTATGTTGTTTGAAACATTCCCATAATGGTCGTAGAGTAGTCATCACACCTGAGTTTATGTTTGTGTGTAAAGATGTAGTTCTATGTAGTTGAATATGATAACATTTCTACGGACTCCTGTAGACAGGTTTGACAGACTGGGCACAGACGTCAGTTCAAGGTCTAATTTTGATTTATATTTGATTCAGTTATCAACTAATGTGAATTCAAAGTGAAATAAACAAAAATGGAACCACGTCACTGGATTAAGGTCATATTTTTTGTGGATAAAAGAAAATCACGAAAAGTCTTTATGTTGATGACTTCTTTCAAGTCCAATCATTTTTCCATGTTGATTTAACATGATCAGAAGGATAAATATAGATTTATTTTTGATGATATGACGTGAAAACAACGTTGATTCAGCCAGTGTATGGGAATGGCTTCCTCATTCGGACAACCAGGAGACTGTTGACTGTACTGTGTCCTGATGTCCTCCGGAGCTGCGCTGTAACTGTATGCAAATGTATGCTGCAGCATGGAAATCAATGGGAGAGCCACACCACAAAGGGGGGGGGGGGGGGGGGGGAGAGAGAGAGAGAGAGAGAGAGAGAGAGAGAGAGAGAGAGAGAGAGAGAGAGAGAGAGAGAGAGAGAGATATCCCCTGAAATGTTTTGACCCAAGTGCTCTAAAATCCATTCTCTGATTTCAGAAACATTTGAAAATGTTGCCATATTTCCTAATTAAATTCAATTATCAATCATCCGACCACTCCCCTGAATAAGCTAACAGTTCAAACTGGGCATGAAAAGCTTCCCAATCCGCCTGGGAACCACCATGTTTGTTTACATCCTGAGCCCGAGCCTTCCCGTCATGCACCTTGGACGTTACACGTTCAGCCCGTCCAGAAGAAGCCGCTATTCGTCTCTGCGCCCCGATGCCCCCATAAACTCCTCAGCAAGATCCTCCGACTTCCAAGCACACGCACCTCCATCACTGTATTCATCCCCCGCCTCCTCCTTCACTCTCGGACTACAACCAATGTATTGACCTCGATAGATCATGAATAAAATAATGTCCATGACACTGGATCGCGTTCTTGAATCAAATGGTTTATTATGCAATTCGAACAGGCTACTACTGTATGACCGTAGTCTACTCCAAATTAATCATTATACACAAATCACAGACCACCAACTCTGAGAGCTATCTCACTGATCCAGGATGTAAGAGAGAGAACAATGCCAGCATGGCAATATAACAGAACCTGTGCACAGCCCACTACTTCATTATTCAAAATGTTGCCCTCTTGCTAGATTGATGAATACAGCCATAGCGAAACAGTGCAAATGTGCTGTAAACTGATTGATGACGTGAAAGACATTAAAAACTCAAAAACCACTGATAAACAGATACTACACTAGGTCTTATTTGCATAGTTACATTTGAGCTAACCAGACTGAACACAAAGGAGAGAGAGGGCATGTTTGATTGTTAAATATCTGTGTTTGTGGTGTGAGCCACGCGCTTCGCTAATTCTTTCAGTGAAAGGGAATAGAAACTGAAATAGATAGGTGACACCTGTACCTGTGTGTGTGTTTGTGTGTTTGTGTGTGGGTGTGTTTGGGTGAACACTGTTTGAAATGATATGCCAAAGAATGATCTTCCTATGTTGTCAACTTTGTGTCTGTAGAAGTGTCGAGGAAGGTGTTTTGTGTTATAGAAGTTCCCAATACTTCTTATATCTTGTTGTTCAGTTAATCATGATCAGTCATACAAATGATCACAAGATGAGTAGTCACAAGGACATGCCATTCAGTACAATGCTAACCATAGGGCAAGGAATGACTGCAAAATAAGTTATGCTAGACATATTGTTGCTATTTTGAGATCACTGCAAAACCTAAATTGAGATTTATATGTCAATCAACGACTGAAAAATATTAGGAAAACATTTATGAATGAGCTCTTACTGTATGTAGTGTAGTAGTGTAGTTTATACTCCTTGTCAGTAGATGGCGCTGCACTTTGTCCATTGTTAGGACTGCATAGGGCCCTTTTGTTTACCCGGAAGTAGTTGGGATTTTTCGGTTTCCACTAGATTGCACAGCCACAAAATTGCATTATTGTAAACATTCAAGAAAACAAACATTTGCTTTTTGTTCTTAATTCAAAGTTAGAGTTAGGCATAAGGTTAGCAGTGTGGTTAAGGTTAGGGTTAAGGTTAGGTTTAAAACCAAATTTTAAGAAGATAAATTGTTGAAATGAGTCTCCCGAGTGGCGCAGTGGTCTAAGGCACTGCA